CCTTTTAGCATCAAGGTACATTTTACCTCTCATGATTGAATTTATAATTTTTTTGTTAAATCAATCTAAGTTAACGTTCACTTTCTAAAGGAAATATTCTAGTATTTTTTGATAACATTAGTGTTTACCAATATGATCTCCAAAAGATTGAAATGAAAACACTCTAAAATTATATTTTTTGATCAGCAAAGAATTTATTTTATTTAAAATACTGGAGTATAAGAGATACTCATACACTCTAAAATTATATTGTTTTAATAAAATCAAAACACTCTCATTTCTATTTTAAAAATATGTTGTTTTTATTTTTTTCAATATACGTTTATTGAAATGATTTAATTTTGTGGTGTTTTTTCTTATAATTTGTTAAAGATTAGGCTAACAAACACATTTCTCTTTTTTTATTCCTTTATCAACATTGATCATTGCATAGTTTATTAAAAAATATGATATTTTTTTTATAATTAAAAAATACATTTATTTCTAATTTTAATTAAGAATATATCAATAAAGAGACCACACATAAATCTTTTTATAAAAGAGAAGATTTAAAGAAAATGAATTAGTGACATAAAAGATACTCTTAAAGACACAAATCTTTAACCATAAATTTTGTCCACCTTAACTGAATTTCTGGCTCCGCCCTTGAGAGCTAAGGATATGGGATCAAGCATTTATCATAGAATATTGAATACGATATCAGACCAAAGATGTACATTGTTTTTTGTACTTACAGTCATGCATTTTTTTTTTTTTTGACAGTTTTTACGTATTTATAAATTAGATTTTTTTTCTAAATAATTGTGAGTGCACACTCCTCATATTAAGGAAGTTAAGTTATTTGGATACTAACTTTAATATTAAATCTAATTTACAAAACAACACTTATTCACTGGAAAATCTAATCCTTAATTAAAAAAAATGTGTATAATTTCTTTTTTATTATTGAGTTTAATTTTTTCTTAACTCCCTAAAATATTACCGTAAATCATTCCAATTTATGATATCAAGAGTAGACTGAAGGCTTAGGGATATGATCACCTTCATCCATACTTAATTGATCTTGCTATGAAAGAAAAATGATAAAATAACATACAATGTGAATTCTTTTGAACACAAAGCGCCCAAAGATATATAGAGGAAGATAATTCATCATTAATGGAGAAGATTGACAAACGGTTTAAACTGATCTTTGTTGACCCATTGAATCTCTATATTGTATCCAAATCATACGTATTCCTTTTGCGTGAATCCGTTTTGTGTTTCACAACCCAAATAATGACATGATTTATTTATCCTTTCTTTTAAGTCAAGGAAAGAAAGCCAAATGACAATGGTTAGTCGTGTACCATGAAAGTATAAGGGAAGATTGGATATCTTTTGACTTTCCTTTGAAACTTCCTTTATGTTTTCCAACGAAAAAGAAAATGGAAAAAGAAATTAACTACCATGACTCTAGGTTCATCCTACTTAACAATTGCATTGCGCAACTTATACATTTATTTTATATGACGAGTTTTGATTTGTTTAGAATGAAAAACTATGACACTATCTATTTACACCCATTTTTACAAATTGATTAGAATGAGCCATGTGTCTCATTTGTTCTAAATTTGGAGTCAAAATGCGTCATCAACAACTGCCATGTGGTGATCCCATTAACTGAGTTAAGCTCAATGACTGATTTTTCTTTAGATACAACGTGAATGTTTGTTGCCACATCATCAACAGAGTAGCTTAGTGGCTATGTACTTCAGGGAACATGATCAGAAGTACCAATGGGTTAGTTGGTTTGTTGTAGATTTTACACTACCATTAGTTTTCAAAATACTATTAGTGGAACTCCACCATGCTACAAAGGTGCTATAAATACCTAATGATGAGGTCAAGCAAAAAAGAACTTACCTCTCACACAACAAACCCAGCGCTATCTACATTTCAATTTTCACGGGCGATATCTTAGTTTAAGTCTAACTTTCTCAAACAACTTTCCTAGTTTATTCTTTAACTCTATGTTGCTATTAGCTTTAGTTCTAGTTTTTGTTATTTTGTTTTGAATATCTTTGCTAATGTTTTTGATTTCCTACAATTCAATTTACAGCACTTTACTCTAAATTCAACTTCCTAGCTTCCTTTAAATTTAGTTTTATGCTTCAACTTTTATTTTATTCTCTATGCTTATATGCTTTCATGGTAGCATTACACTTCCTCCTTGCAATTTAGTTTTCCTACCATACACTCTCTTTCTTCTCTTTTCCTTTATTTTTTTCTTTTCTTTTGATTAGCAAACTAACATTTTGGCTCTAGTTGTCGAAAGACCCTGACGTTCTTCTAGGGTAATTATTCATGGACCTCTATGCAAGATTGCACCTTTATTTTTGTGACAAGCGCCTAACTAAGGCGCACCTCATAATTTATTTAATTTGCGCTCTTCCATAGACTCATAGTCGAGTTCTACACTTAGAAGTAGTAAAGGTCATTAGGAATCTCTTTTTCTCATTTTGAGTAAAGTGAGTGGCACATTTTCGCATTCTTATCTGCCAAATGGCTAAAAAGAGAGATTTTAGAGACAAATATCTCTTTTTGGTAGGCCTAGTGGGACCCACCTGGGGTTTTCACAAGTTTGTTGGTCATATATTCTGCTACTAGATTGTGCCACGATAGCAAGTCTTTATTCTAATGACTGCTATAAGTTCTTCATGACTCTGCCACATGCTTCCTTTTATGTTAATCCACTTGATGATGAGAGGCCAACAACAAGTAGTAAATCTTCCAAATCACTCATTGAAATAATAGTTGATGCTAATGAGAAACCTAAAAGGCTTCATGAAAAACATAGGAGGTGGTTAAAGGAAAATTAGAAAAGATGCAAACAAGAGTTTCAAAAAATTGAAGAAAGATATCATAAAAAACTTAAGACCTTTCAACCCAACAATGAGGTCTTAATGGAAGATTCAAAAAAGTGCCATGCAACGATGTCTCCAAGAACTTTGAAGCAGTTTTGCAAGTTGTAGAACGTGACAGAGATGCCAATTCTTATAATGAATGAAGGTCAGATGACATTAGGGTTAGAGAGTAACCCCACGATCATACTTAGGGGGCATAAATCACCATTGCGATGTGTTGCCCAAAGTTAGCGATGCCATGCAACTTTGGAGGCGACTTCAGCAGGTATGCCTCCAAGTCATTCTAAGTCTACAAAGACTAATAATAGCAGCAGCCCTCCTACTCTCAAGAAGCATAAACTAGTTTAGTTGCAGACATGTCAGCCATCTATCAATCAAGGTCTATTTGATGGCTGACAGTAAGTTGATACTACCACACAAAACCCAACACTTTGGTTGGCATCAATACATAAATCTCATAAGGTATCCACCCCATCTATTTCTACTTTTGAGACTATTGGGCATATTCCTTTTGCCTACTTTGCTTAAGAAATATCAGCAACAACCATGTCTCCTTAATGATCAAAGCCCTTTAGGTTCAACTATGGACAATGGCTAAAGATGAAATATCCCTTCAAAGTCATTAGTTTAAGGAGGAGAGTTCCTTTTAATCTTAAGGGGGGAACCAAGTTAGAATAAACAACAAAGGTTGCAAGACCTTGTTGCAATGGAGATGCCCAAACTACAAAAAAGGAGTTAACAAGGTGTAAGTTGTCACAGCCAATAGCTAATTCAAGTATCCAACCAATATTGCCACACTAAAAGGATGTCTACAAGCTTAGTCCACCTCAACAACTTGTAGACTCATTGCCAAAGGCCATTTAGGAGACATGTAGGCCAGTATGTTGTCCAACATGCTATAGGCCATATTCAAAGACTAATGATTATTTTTGAAGTAGCTTTCATTAAAGATCCTTGGATTTTCCTCACAAACGCAAGGATTACATGGGAGGTGGAAAGAGAAACACTATACCTTCGTGTCTACTAACTTAAAGAAGGAGAAGTAGACCTGAAGACTTTTATTGGACATTGAAGAAGGAGCTTTAACACTAGACCCATCTCTCTAATAAGTGGCATGGGGGGCACGATCTTGTAGACATGCATGGAGGCATAGGTAAACACCTTCCTTATGGACAAAACCAATTAAAACATGGCAACCATGTCTAGCCTAACATGATACAACTAGTGTTCCACCTAGAATCCTTTACCTAAAATCCTAAGACTCTTCGGAGGCGACTTCAGAAGAATCAAGTTAAAGAGCATCAGAGGCATACTATTGTTGAGGTACATGTTTCCCAAAGGCAACAACCTCCAATGAGGCAAAGGTTTATCTAGGTGGAGAAGAAGAAATGTAGTACAATCTTTCAAGAGGCAAATCAAAATTTAGTCAATGTAGTTGTGTTTATAAGGACGTTTGCCAAGCATGTTTCTATTAAGTCAAATGATTCAAAGGCAACTAAGGAGCTTAATGTTTGCAACAAAACAATTAGCCTTGGTGAGTCTATTATTGAACTTCCAAATTCCATTTCAAATCTCCCTTTTATTTTCACAAGGAAGTAAGATGTAGCCTATAGTAGCAAAGAGGTAGCAAAGAACAAAGTAAACATGTTTTCCAAAGAAAATAAAGGGAAGAATCATAAAAAGGTCATCACAACCTTTGTTCCTATCAAAGGAGGCATGCTGTCGTTAGTTGGAGACATGCTGCCTAGGAGATATTCTGCCAACAATATGTAACCTTTACAAATGCACAAAGTATTAGATTAAGGCTCACAATTTGCACCTCATTAAAATAAATGGGTTGCCTTTTCAACCATGGCCATCGCAACTTTTGTTCCTATCAAAGAAGGCATGTTGTCATCAACTGGAGGGATGCCACCTAGGAGACATTCTACCAGCAATATGCAACCTTTATAGATGTACAAGGTATTAGATGAAGACACATATTGGCTAAGGAATTTTAATGGCAATTTGCACCTCATTCCTTTTTGGCCATGTTGCCCTTCAATTTACAAATCATGTAGTAGATCGAAGTGGAAATAATAATCTCTTTGCCTAAGTTAGGTTTAGGTGGAGATCAATTTTAATTTAGCTTTTGTTTTTAATTTTCTACAATTTGTGTGAATAATCTTGCAGTTAGAGCAGCCTTGAGGAAGGCTGTGAGATGCATTGCTTTTAAGACATGCTTTCTGTGGAAGCTTTCTTGATTTGTGTATTCATGTCAACTAACAAAAGGAATTCATGGAATTGTTCTTTTGAGGTTATATTTTTCCATTTTTGCAAACACTTTTAGCTGGCTTATTTCTCTATGAAGTTGCTGTGTCTACTAGATGATATTTCATGCAATGTTGAAGAAAAGAATAATTTCAAATTTCTACATTCTTCGAGACATCATGCTATCTTTATAATGGCCATATGGCGAATGGGCTATTGAGAACAAAATTTATCAAAAACTTAATTCCAATTCCATGAAGTCGTGCAACCAAGTTTTGGGGAGCATTGTTTACATTTATTTTTGTAAATTAATTAGAAGCCATGTGTCCCATTTGTTCTAAATTTGAAGGAGTTAAAATGTGTTGCCAACAACTGCCATGTGGTGATCTCATTAATTGAGTCAAGTTCAATCACTTATTTTTCTCCAGAATCAATGTGAATGTTTGTTGTCATATCATCAACAAAGCAACTTTGTGGTTACGTACTTCCAAGAGTATGATCAGTAGTACCAATAGGTTAGTCGGTTTGTTGCAGATTTCATGCTACCATTAGTTTTCAAGATGCTGTTAGCAGAACTCCACCATGCTACCAAAGTGCTATAAATACCTAATGATGAGATTAAGCAAAAAGGACCTACCTCTCACACAACAAGCCTAGTGCTATCTACATTCCAATTTTCACAAGAAATGTTTTAGTTTAGATTTAGCTTTCTCAAATAGTTTTCCTAGTTTATTCTTTAACTCTATGTTGCCACCAGCTTTAGCTCCAGTTTTTGTTATTTTGTTTTAAACAACTCCATTAATGTTTTTGATTTCCTACAATTCATTTTATTGCATTTTACTTTAAATTCAACTTCCTAGCTTCCTTTAAGTTTAATTTTATGCTTCAGCCTTTATTTCATTCTTTACGCTTATATGCTTTTGTGACGACATTACGATTCCTCTTTGCAATTTAGTTTTCTTACCATGCACTCTCTTTATTCTCTTTTCTTTTATTTTTCTTTTTTCTTTTGATAAGCAAACTAACATTTTGACCCTAGTTGTGGGAAGTCCTCATTGTTCTTCTAGGGCAATTATTCATAAACCTTTACATAGGAATGCACTTTCATTTTTGTGACAATTGTTTGACCAAAGTGCACCATATAATTTATTTAAATGACACTCTTCCAATGGCTTTCAATTGAGTTCCATACTTGGAAGTATTAAGGGTTACCGAAAATCCTTCTTTCTCAGTTTGAGTAAAGTGAATGGCATGCTTTCATAGACCTATTTGCGATGAGGTCAAAAAAGAGATCTTGGAGACAACACTATCTAAAT